TCTATCTATCTATATATATGTATAAAATATCTGTATATATATCCTTTTTTGTACAGGACTAAAGTATTTTCTGTCTTTTGTGTTTTTTAAACTTTTTATTTTTTTCAATGACTCTTTAAATACACATGTATCCACAAAGACAGAAGCCAGAATCGGTAGTAAAGCGAAAAAAAGTCTACCTTTTGTAACGTACATTGTAATTAGTTTTAGTTTTATATACTAGCGAATTTATGGGAAGTGACTGTTGCTAGTGCCCTTACTCTCTGTCACGTTAGATGCGCTCAACGTTTTGTGCATGTGTAGGATGTTACGCTCCACCAAAGTTCTTTGATAATGATACTCTCAGCAGTGTATTTGGCTGAAGCAGAGACCGAAGTACGGGGAGAGCACGAAGTCATTGACACAGAAAAATGGCAGAGTGTGCGTGGACTCACAGTAGAGCTCTGTTCTGGCATTGTAGATCGAGATGAACCTTTTGAGAAAATTGCTCAGTCAGAAGTATTGGAGGAATGTGGTTATGACATTCCTGTAAAGTCCTTGAGGAGAGTTACATCATTTCGGTAAGTGGATTTTAAACATTCTGAATTAAGTTTATTTGTTGGGTTGCCGGTGAAACCTAATTTCATTGACTTGCAAATGACTAGTTGTGCCCACCTCTATCCAATATCTGAAGGAGTCTTTTAGGGATTTGGGGATGCCCATAAAATTGAAATTACCTTTCATCAGGAAAACTTGAAAAGTTTTTATATTGTATTATTTGTATATTGCGCTACTGTTCACCATATAGGTGATTTGAACTCTTTGCATTCGTTATATATGACTATGACTCATGCTGTCTCTACGTACCTTTCTATGATTATTAACGAAGGAGTAAAGTATTAATGGCTGAGCATTTGTTTCCTTTTCAGAACATTACGATGAAAGAAAAATTACGTTTCTTTAAGAAAGACGAAATTAAAATACAGACCTCACTCACCCTTAATCTTGAACTTCTACTTTCCAGCCAAGTTTGTAACCCCCTATGAATAGGAACTACTTTATATAAGTGTGTATTTTGATTCTTAAAATGCGTACCATCTTTCTACAATGGGCTGCATTGTGTTTTCTTTTTGATGATGCCTAATCAGCGTTTACACCTTTCATTCGCATAGCACAAAAGAAAAGACAATGAAACCTTTACAAAATACAGTGGAGTCTGTTTGAACCGAAACTTGGAGGGTGGCCAGATTTTCTTCAGATGAGCCGTGTTTTCAGTTTAGAGACGGTCGCTTAACATAATAGGTGATAATTGTTGACAGCATCGAGTCAGGAGTACCATGCTTGCGGCAAATTTCACTTGATGAAAGTTTTTTTCTCTCTCATTTATTTTATTCAGTAATAATTTGAGCTGCAGACTGTACACATTGTGCTTAATTAATCATTGATATTGCTGTCTCCGTCTTTTTATGCTAGAAAAATTCTGAAATTATGCAAACTGAGCCCAAACATGTGAAATTATGCGATTCTGTAAATTTTAACAAAGAAAGATAAAGGAAATACATGTAATCAGAAATTATGCAAAAAAATGATCAAATTTTGCTAAATTAAGCAGGGTGCATAAAACCACGGTGACAGATATTATCGGCTTGCTTTATAATCTTCTGAACAGCCACAGATTAGACAAAAGATACATAATAAAAAGTACTAAAGCAAGCTCAATATGAGTGAGGTCATCAAACACACCGAATGCGATAACAATCTCATGTGAAGGGCCTCTGCAAACTAGCTTCACAAACACAGTAGGCAATGGCCGACTGAAAGTCGTTAAACCAACGTACATTTGCTGTCCTTGCGTCACTTGGCCTTTACGTATTGTGTACGCCTGTTGATGTGTGTGCACAACATACGCGACACACCTGAGCTTGCGTTTCTCATCCTTCTGTTTCGCTATCTTGAAGCACTCAAGACTTGATGATTTGGATTACTTGAAAGTTGCTAGTGACTAGTGAAGATTTAAATGATTTTATCGTAAAAATTTGTCTGAATGTAAGGTGGTCTTCTATGCTTTATCAAAGTGTTCAAAGTAGTGTAGTTCCCAACTTTCGTGTCTGGCTGACTGGACTTTCTACTCTACCTTTCAGAATGATCATGTACATGTACTCCCCCCCCCCCCCCCCCCCCCCATGATTCCAGGAATGGTGTGACTCTAAGTGGGGCAATGGTCACTTTGTTCTATGCTGAAGTCTCGGATAGTCAGCGAGTCGGTCCTGGAGGAGGTCTGGCGCAAGAAGGGGAGCTCATACAGGTGGTAGAGCTATCTGTTTCGGAGTCCCGGAAACTTCTATTTGACGAAAATGTAAACCGAGAAGCTGGGTTGCTTTGTGCCTTGTACTGGTTTTTTCAACATATTTGGAGTGAAAGGACTAAGAAGGAATAATTTTGCCAAACTGTTATAATGTCTACAGATGTTTTTAAATTCAAGAGTTAGTTTGACTGTGCGTGTGAATGCAAACGCATGTATTTATAAGTGTGCATATATATATTTGTGTGTGTGCGAGACAAGAGAATGTGTTCATGTTTGTGTATGTGATAGTGTGAGCGTATGCTCATTTATGTTTTCATAATATTTCAATTATGAATATTACATGCGTTGTAAATACAAATACTTTGTCTTTCAAATCACATCTTGCATTTGTTTTTGTAACTAATGTTTTATGGCACTTGCAACAAAATTAGGTCACAAAGAGCTGAATATTGAAGGTGTTCCACGAGAGTAACAAACACAGAAAAGGAGAAGAGATAAGGATGAGAGATGTTTGGTTGGAAAGAAGAAGCAAACCACACCAGAGCACCTGCCAACCAGGCAGGAAAAATCCAAGCCTCAGTTTCGTAGGATTGAACTGGAAATGCTGTTTCTTATGCCGGTACTCTAATGCAGCCATAGCTGGTACACTTTTTCTCCACTCAAATTCATTTTGAAAAAATCTGCATTCTATGTTTAAGTTTGAATGTCAAAATGGAAATAATTACAGTCAAACTTGGATAAACAGGACAGACGAGACCGGCAGGTTTTCCCTGTTATAAGCGAGTTCTGTTATACAGTGGAATCCTGTTATAACGAGAGGGAGGGGACCGGTGCGAAATGTCCGTTATAGCAGGATTCTCGGTACAAGGGATCCAGTAATAAAT